GTAATCAAAACTTAAGACTTCAGTACAGGAGACTAGGTATAATTATTGTTATTGTATTAATATTTTAAAAATTTCTATCCTTTTTAAAGGTATGGAGTGGTCTAGTGATAGAGAGATGACTTTTTCACCTGATGCAACCAATTACAAATTCCTTAACTTGACCTCTGAGACTACATATGAACTAAGACTGATAACACTAATAATGGGAAGCTGTCAACAAAGGACCAGTAACACTGTCAACTTTACTACTATTGGTAAGAGAGAGCTAAGACTAAAGAATTAATGCATGTATGTGTATTGGGTTAATATGAAAATTAAACAAGGTGGACTATGATATGTCCTAAGATTATTTTGGCAAAGGAAGTTTATCCTTGCTATCTCCTGATGTCTCTATAGCAGTTGCCATATTATCATTATTATCAATAATTTCTACTCTTGTTATTATAGAGCTTCAGGTAGTTGTTAATGCTAGTAACACTACAACATTCACTGCTGGAGAGAGAATTGTACTTACTTGTGATCTTGATACTGGTGGAGCTCCCCCCACTGATGTAATGTGGACGTAAGTTTAATTTTAATGTTTATTGTATCATTCCTCTCTTCTCTCTATAGGTATAATGATGGTAGTCTTCCCTCTACTGCCACTGCTGATGGTAATACACTCACATTATCCTCCCCCTCAGTTGATGACAGTGGTAATTACACATGCTCATTCAGAAATGCTTCATATACATTTGCACTAATGATCAATCCAACGCCACCACCAACCACTGATACAAATGGTAAGGTAATGTATAAGTAAATGTATATGTATTAGATAAAATTTTTAATTTTGGCAGAATTTGGCTTGTGACCCTGTACTAAGTACAGGGACTTTGGCCTCATTTTTGAGTAACTTTAAAAATTTGTAGAAAATTCAATTTTGATTTGAATCAATTCAAACTTTCTACACAGCATAAAAACATGTATGTGCATCAAAATAAATTATAAAAATTGAGAATTCTCTCCTCTTTAATTTTGCCGAAATTTGGCTTCTACCCCTGTACTATAATATGGGGACTTTGGCCCGATTTTTGAGTAACTTTAAAAATTTGTAGAAAATTCAATTTTGATTTGAATTAATTCAAACTTTCTACACAACATAAGAACATGTATATGCATCAAAATAAATTATAAAAATTGAGAATTCTCTCCTCTTTAATTTTGGCAAAATTTGGCTTCTCCCCCTGTACTATAGTACAGGGACTTTTGCCCAATTTTTGAGTAACATTAAAAATCTAATTTTGACTAGATAGTTATTACAATTACCTGTAAAGCTAGTACTTGCTTGCCTACTATAACTGATAAGTACAACAGACCAGTAGTTGCTATATCTGATGGTACTTGTCTCTGGGAATATAAATGTTTTTGTTTTTACTGCCAACTGCCTACAAGTGTTGTGGTCACCTGCCTTCATATTTTACATTCACATGTATTCTTTCTTCTTGTCTCTTTTTTTCTCTCCCACTTTCTCCCTCTCTCCATCTCTCTCCTCTCCAGCTTTACCTCAATATGTGGTATTCATAATAGCAGGAGTAGTGGGTGCCATCATTATAGTGTTCATAATTATTATTATTATCATCATCTGTTACTGTTGTGTGTGCAAGAGGAAAGAGGGTGCTGATCTTGACTTGAAAAGAAATAAAAGGTTAGTTAATAGCATTTGATAGGAGGACTTAGATATATGTAATATATTCGCTAATTATAGGGGTGGCGATGGCATGTGGCTTGATCCAGGTGGAAGTGGATTTTCTCCTCAATATATATCAACAACCAGGGACTCTCCTGTAAGTAGATGTACTTATACATACTAGACAATTAATGTACTGTATATGGATGTGTACATGCACCTGTACTATAGTGTATCAGGTTATGTACATGTGTATGAAAGAGCCAATTTTGGTGAAAAACCACACGTACACATGCGTGTAGTTAAATATTTATTGCTCTTATTTGCCCAACAACACTTCTTGACTCAGGAAATGAAAGCACTACAATCGGCCATGCATGTGCAGTGTATTAATAGTAACAAAGCTTATGTTGCTATATATAGAATCAGTGTATTGTGCATTAATTATATTGTTGTACGCATCCAATGAAGTTAAGAGATATCAGAGCATGTCTGTGTTTGTACTGATTCCTAATTATAACCTAATTTAGTGTAATGGAGTATATAAACTATTGCATTCCTTTATGAGAGAGGAAGAGAGAGAGAGAAGAAAGAATATATAAAGAAACATTAATAGCACTGTTATTATTATTACTATCAGTAATATTGGTGCTATTTCTCTTCACAGGATTTTGGAAGGACTCCCGAGAGATCTTACACTAACAATTTTCAATCAGCAAGTTCCTTTGAGATAAAGAAAGGAAAAGGAGAGAGTCAAGAGAACCTCACTAGTGAAGCTCCAGAGGAACGCTACGCCAACACGAGCAAACCTTTTGCAGAGCAAAGAGTAGAGTATGCAACTGTAGGTAGCTCAACCTTTACAAAACAAAGCGACGTATGAAAAGATGAGAAAACACACATCGTCTATTATTATTATTATTATTATCTCAAAGCTACTCATTAATTTTAGTTTTAATTTATATAACTTTGGGTTTGGGGCGTGGCTGTATTTGTTATAGTAACGAGTTTTTTAATCATGTTTGTGACTGTGGTTTTTGTTTTACCTGCTCTTTTGCTGCAGATCAATTTTTAATTATTATGACTATTATAGCTGGTTTTTGTTTTTTTTGTATTTTCCCCTCCATATTCTATTATGCTATTTTGAAATTTGTCTTTTTTGCTTTTTCAATATAATAATTACAATTTTTATAAAAATAATTTATAAATAACGTTAATGACGATGAGAAAAAAATATAAGAACAATTACAATAACAACAAATGTGACGCTATTAAAATAAAATATAATTATTATACAAAAAATAATATCTCTGAAAATAAAAGGTGCTAAAAATTAAGTCAACTACATCTTTTTATTACTGCTGAAAAGATTACTGTTACCCCGCCCCCGACCACGCCCCATCCAATTAAGGGATCCCATGTGTAGAGCACATCTCCGAAAACCATTCACCAACATCCACTGGCTTCTCCTCGTACTCTTTAATGAGAGGGTGGAGCAACAACTTATCATACTGAGGCCTTTCATCAACATCCTTACAAAGGCTAGAGAGAGAGAGAGAGAGAGAAAGAGATGGTGGAGCAATTTCCTTTTACAAAAACACACGTATGCTTACCATTGTGCCACAAAGTCATAAAAGTTAGGCGAGAACTTGTCTTCGTCGAGTAGAGGGGGAGGAGCCTGGACGATGTGCGTCAAGAGGTCAAACTCGCTCGAGAACTCGTTAAACTTGTAAGGGGCGGAGCCTGTTGCCATCTCGACCAGGGATATGCCGAGACTCCAAACGTCGGCTCGAACATCATAACCTTTTGAATCATGAGACATGTTTATCCTCTCGGGCTAGAAAAAAATAATAAAAAAGAACTTGTATATACATGTACATGTACATGTACATATACAGCTAGAGAAATAATTGAATGAAATTGAAAAAATATAAAATTTTATTTCATTCTTCATTATGCTCAATGACAAAAAAACCTCCTAAATTGCTAATAAAAACCTGTCAATTGCATATTTTTAACAAATCATCCAATATGTTCCTCTTTTCTCTTACTGCCATATAAGCAGCTGCCCCTGCTCCTCTAGTAAACGCCTTAGAATCCACTAGTCTTCCACTGATTCCAAAATCACACAATTTCACGTTCCCATTCACATCTATTAGTATGTTTGACGGCTTCACGTCTAAAAGGGGAGGAGCTAACACTTCTTTATTACCATGGCAACAACAAACCTCTGTGAATAACTTTATGAGCTCTCTTTAGATAATCCAGAGCCTTTACAATCTGTGGTGGGCAGGGCATCATTAAAAACCACGCCCACATATTAATTAACTTACAGAAACACACATTTTTCCTATTATTCGTTCAGGTATTGGTCCTTTTAATCTTTTGAGTAGGCGGTCAAGACAAGTAGCCATCAGCTCCATAAATACCCAAACCTCGTTCTAATTATACGAAAGAACAAAAGTAATATTGTAAAATACCACAAACTATGTAATTAACACAATGTGGTTAGCCTCACCCAGGAATTAATAGGAAAGCATGAATACAATTTAATTAATGGAAATGTATGAATACTACGTAATTTGCAATAAGAGGAATTCTTCTAAAATGAGGCATACAATAGTTTAGCTATTGTGTAGGATGGACTGCATACCTTGACAATCGCTGATCCGTAATACTCCACGATGAAAGGCGAATGCTGCGAGTTCATTACTTCAAGATCCATCAGCACTCTTCTTTGCTCCTCCCAAGTATCGTGCTGCCATAGCATCTTCTACAATAAAGAGAGAGAGAGAGAAAAGAGACAAAGAGAGAAGACATGTATAAATTCAATGATACGATTCTTAGTAGTGTTTACTTTAGCAGCAATAGCAATGCTAGAAGGATTATGGACCATGCGATATACTTCGCCGGAAATGCCACTGCCAACTCTTTTAACATCTAACATGTCTTCCATAGAGAATGGATAGGTCTGGCAAGAGAGGAAAAAGAGAAAGTAAAAACAGAGAAAATAAAGACAAAAGTAATGCAAGACAAAAGAACACCCCAGACAGTTTACATTTCTTCCCAAATGTATGTACCTGTCCACCTGGTAATACTAGTGTTCCCATTCTTGCTTTCACTTTCAGTTCCCTTTCCTCTTGCTCTGACTCTGTGACCCTGAGAGAGAGAGAGAGAGAGGAGAAACATAAATGCAAGCAATTGATACGTGATAATTAAAATTAAATGTACATGTACATGTAATACCTGGCTGGTTGAGAATGTACATGTCGCTGTAATCTAGGGCCAGGTTTCCGTGGTCTTGTATTATTGAATAGTGAATCTGTTGGTCTCCTAAGAGATAAGAGAGAGGAAGGAAAATATTTAGAAATTAAATTAAGTGTAAGATACCTTACAGCAACTTTTGCCATACCAATACAATATGATTATAAAGCTGATGAGTAGGAAAGGCTCTCAATAAGTAGTATATAGCTCTCTCTCTCTCTTTCAGAACTAAAACTATGCTATCCAACTCCCTCTATTTAAATACAGGGCCTAGGACAATAGCATTCAAATGACTCATCCAAAACAACACAGATATATACTCTCTGAGTCAGAGACAAATTCCCTCCGGTTTTAAAAGTAGAACAAGACTTTGTGACGTCATATCGAAACAAACAACTAGAGAAGGTGTATTGGTGGTTCACCTCTGGCGGGTGGAAGGGGGACAAGTCGAAGAGGGGACGTCCTGGCTCTGGGATCTTACCGGTAACCTTAAGTCAGCCATTTTGACATCAAAGCAGGGCGGGGCTAACTAATGGGCGTGGTATTTATAGGCGTAGTTTATGCATTAATTAAAGGCGTGGTCAAAAAGCATACTACATTTTGCGAATTTTGTGATTCTTTTCATCTTTCCTGCTTCTCCCTCTCTCTTTCTCTCTCCTTTTCTTTTTTCCTCTTTTAGACTCAAATTTTTCCTTTCTATCTCCCAGTCATGGACCTGTTTGTATTCTCTCTTCTCTTCACTACATTCTGTCTACTAGTAGCTGCTCTCTACCTCAGTCAATACATCCAGTCAAAATGGAGAAGAAGGAACAGCCCAGAGATAAATAAGGAGCTGTTCCTCCAGTGGATCAATGATCATTGGTATCGTCTCCCGTCAGATCAAGAGATATTATCCCTCATCAATGAACAAGCAAAAGAAGTAAACCCAGTCAAAGGAGGAGAGGTAAAAGAATTATTAATTAGTCACACAATAGTCATATGATATGATTACATACATTTTAAATTACCTGATTGTATATTTTTGCCCTCCCTCAATAGCAATGGTCTGGTTTGTTCATTGAGGGACTGTTGGCTGGGACTGAACTCCCTTCATTTCAAATTAAAGATATATTAACATATGAAGAAGATAAGCTGGTTAGTTTTCCTTTGCCCACTAACGTGTAGCAAACCAGTGTTATCATAACTACATGTAACATCACTGAATTACTACTCCATGTTCCAATATGTCAATATACATCTTTATCTTCTGTTCATGTACATTTTGTACTATGAGAGTCCAAGTTTAAATTTTTATTGTCTTTTGGTGGAATTCAATTTAGCAAAATGAAAGTTGATGTACACAATGTATGTATTTAATGTACATGTACATGTATGTACATGAATTAGACTGTGAATTATGTGCAGATTCTATTTCTGATGCATGAAAGTGTGTGGATTAGTGTAGGAAAGAATAATGTGAATAAATGAATGAATAAATAAATAAAATCATTCTTTTTTTCTCTCTCCAGCATTGTCAAGTGTTAATTGAATGGCCTGATTGTCTCCCTGGGCTTGAAGTATCTGTTGATTTGAATAGTGAAAAGATTGTATGTCATTTGCAAGTTGATTGGCTTATACTTGAGGTCAGTTTATGAACGACTATATGCCCCTTGGCACTTGCTCATGACATCGTCTCTCACATCAACCACATTACATGTACATATACATGTATCGTAATGTATATGTACATGTACATGTACTAATGTTCTGTTTTTAGGGTGATTTGATGATAGTTCCAGTGTCAGAGGACGGTGCCTTGTTGTCTTGGAAACAAACGGGCCCTCCTTCTTCTGCTATGTCCTGTTTGGTTGTTTCCCCCGAGAAATGGAAAGCAAATGTCGACATCATGAAACCTGTTCTTGTTGAAGAAGACAGAGAAACTGAGGTAGTGTATATGACTGGTAGAGAAGAGAGAGAGAAGAGATTCATCAATGGCTTAAGGCAATTGTTAGCTTTGCCTTTACAATAACAATTATTGATGGATAATTATAACAGTTTGTTAAACTGAGGTTCAGCTACAACCTGCTTACAATATACATTATAAAGAAATGAATGGACGATAGATCAATAACATGTAGATCAATGTAATTACTATGCTCTTGTACATGTGTGTTCTCACGTGTGCTTTGTATTGACTGTTAAAGGGCCTATTAAGTAAGGCATGCTGGATTAGTGCCATATATTTTCTTTGTTATGAGTCTGTGATCATATTACTAATAGCATTGCTCCTCTTTGTAATCTTGTTTCACTCTTTGCTTTGTGGCTGTCTTTTTTCTCTAGGCTTCAGAGAATTTATCTAGTTCAGTGACTGAAGGAGTCCTTTCATTGTTAGAATCTTTTGAACTAAAAGACGTTCGACTTCCTTTGCATACTGGAGAGAAGGAAGAGGAGGAGAAAGAAGAGATAGGATTGGTCGAGGAAGGAGAGGAGACATTGACTGAGGAAGAGATGAAAGTGGAAGCAGAAGAGAAGGAAGAGGAAGAGGATAAAGAATCAGCAGCTAAGGAAGGGATGGTTTATGATGAAGGAGAGATTGAGAAAAAGACAATAAATGAAGAGGAAATGTTTGGCATTTATAATGAAAATGACGAAAATAAAACAAACAAAGGAAAAACATCATCACTCAATATGGCCATGGTAAGCATCACCTTTAGATCCAAACAAACAACACTTTTCATTTTCTTTCTCTCTCTCTTTATTAATAGGTTATATCTCATTCAGTCATTTCTACTGATCCAATCTTCACAGCACAGAAAACCACACCTACCACCAATACTACAGCTCCTGTCACAATGACCACACTCACCACCAACGAGCCTCTAACGACACCCCAAGTCATATGCAGTTCTGAATCTCCACCAGTCACAAAGCAAAAAACCCCACCCAAAAGTCCACCCAAAACTCCGCCTATCATTAAAACCCCACCCACTGAAAGAAAAGCTCCCCTTTCAATTTCAGTTCCTGAAGCTACGCCCATTGAGACAGAAGCCCTTCCCACCTCAACTGCCCTGGGTAACGGTAGCGTCCATGCTAAACCTTACCACTGGCTAGGAGAGCTACCAGTTATTAGTGAACCAAAAGAAGAAGAAGAAGAGGAGGAGAAGGAGGAGGAGGAGGAAGAAGAGAGAATAAAGTCCTCAATACCTATCAATAGGACGGAGTCTCCTTCTACTTGGAGGAGAAGTGATTCGTACGAAAACTTTCAAGTAACTGATCTCATGCCACAGATATCACAGAGTCCGATGTCACCAAGTCCGTTGCTTCATTCGGCCACACCTCCTCTGACACGCCCATCCACGCAGCGTTTGTATCAGACCACGCCTCCTCCACGCCCTCACTCTGCTCAGCGTAACTATCCCTCGTTGCTAAAGGTAGCTCAGAGCGAGGAGGACCTACTCAGCGAGAGTGACGATCAAAAGAGAAAGAAAAGACGACAAATGACGCTGAGTGTTCGTAGCTACGACACAGACACTCCAGGTAGGCTAGTTAGTAGGACACACCCATTAGTCACATGACTTGCATATTTATGTGCTTATAAATTCTATAATTTGATAGAAAACTTAACTAGGATGTTTATCACTATTAATACTGATTATTAGTCCTTTCATGTACACAGTCCTTCAATTAACACCCACACTCACTTGGCACTCCTCTTATGATTATTTCATTTAATTATAATATATTTATTTATTTATTTATTTATTTATTTATTCTATTAGTTAGTACCGGTCACTTACCCTCAATGTTAGTGTACGAAGTGGAGGAAGGGACCCAGAGAAGACATATTGTGGCACTTAACACTTTCCATGCAACGAAGCTTAGGAAGCAGTTACCCTCGTACACTAAGCTCCATATTTATAATGACCATACTTTCACAGCTACACACATTAAAGGGTGAGGCAGAGAGAGAATGCTAAGAGACAATGCACAAGTCTTAAAAGTAATTTTTGAGTTTAAAAAAGCCAATTTTTGAAAAAGTAGAGGCTATAGTATACGGTCACCGGCCAAATTTTGCCAAAATTGAAAAAGAAAAAATTTGCCATTTTTATAATTTTTCCTGATGTATATACATGTTCTTATGTTGCTTAGAAAGTTTGAGTTGATTCCGATTAAATTTGGATTTTTTATGAATTTTTAAAGTTGCTCAAAAATTGAGCAAAAGTTCCTGTACTATAGTACAGGGTCGCTGGCCAAATTTTGCCAAAATTGAAAAGGAAAGAATTTGTAATTTTTATGATTTTTCCTGATACATATACATGTTCTTATGTTGCTTAGAAAGTTTGAGTTGATTCTGATTAAATTTGGATTTTTTATGAATTTTTAAAGTTGCTCAAAAATCGAGCGAAAGTCCCTGTACTATATATAGTACAGGGTCGCTGGCCAAATTTTGCCAAAATTGAAAAGGAAAGAATTTGTAATTTTTATGATTTTTCCTGATACATATACATGTTCTTATGTTGCTTAGAAAGTTTGAGTTGATTCCGATTAAATTTGGATTTTTTATGAATTTTTAAAGTTGCTCAAAAATCGAGCGAAAGTTGCTCAAAAATTGAGCCAGTATTGCATTTAAGTTGCATTTATAGTAAAAATTGTAACACTCTTTAACGTGTCTGTTATAGGAAGCAGCTGTGTGGAGTCTGCAGTGACAAAGTGACTGGATTGTTTGGTAAACAATGTTACATATGCAGAGGTGAGTTTGAATCTACATATACATGTACAATGTGCACTTTTTTACTATTTTTATTTATTTCTTTTATTTATTTAAAATTTTTTCTTTAATTTTTAATTTTTATCTTTTTTTATTTTATTTTTTTAATTTTTCTTTTTTTCAAATTTTTTAATTTTTTAATTTTAAATTTTAAAAATTGAAAATTAAAAAAATTGAAAATTTAAAAAATGAAATAATAAAAATAATTTTATTCTATTTTCACAACTTAGAATTATTCTGCTCTTATTAATATTATTATTTCAGTTTTTCTGGGTGTCTAATAACAATTCAAAAAAATAATAAAAATAATTAAAAAAAATTTTTTTAAATTTAAATTTAAATTAAAAAAATAAAATAATAAAAATAATTTTAAAATTAAAAAACTTTAAATTAAAATTAATAAATAAAAATATTAAAAAATAAAATAAAATAATAAGATGAAAAAAAAGAAATAATAAATTTACGTGTATGCACTAGTCAAATATTAGCACAAACTACAAGTACATGGTATAAGGTTAAAATTTTTTGTACAGTAATATGTACATGTACAAGTACATTTAAAGTGAAAGTTTTGGAATATTTTTGACACTTATATTCTCTCTCTTTTCCCTTTCAGATTGTTCCCTGATTGTACATAAAGAGTGTCATTTCAAAGTTGAAGCTCCCTGTCCCAAATCAAAAGTATCAAAGATGTGCCTGTGAGTTATATAAAGTCCTTAAATTCTATCTATTTATTTGTCCGTTTATTTTTAGAATTGATCCAGATCGTCTTTCATCAATTTCTCAGTATTAATTTTAACCCTCTCAACTCATCTGCCACACTCATTCAAAATTAAACATAATTGCATTTGCCTTTCCTCCTCCTCCTGCTTTTTCTCTCTCTCCCCCTCTCTCGCTATACAGCTGACCACACCCATTACAGATTAATAGTGACAATGAATAATAACAATTATTTTTTATATGATTAGAATCTGAATTTAAAATTTCAAACTTGTGGCACTTAAGAAATTATAATTATTTTAAAATACAACTTGACAACTTGCACCTTGCAAAACTTTAAAGTGCAAACAAACTCTTCTCATCTCCTGCAGAAATCATAAATATTTTATTTGAGAATTATGTGATTTTTTATTTAATAAGCGAATGTGTTTCTAATCAATTTCCTGACAGTTCCAGCCATCGTCTCTGCTGGTAGTTCGTAATATATCTAGTTATAAATAGTTATTAAGTACATGCCCACACACCCACCACTCACTCTGTGTAGGTAAGGTTGTAACGAGAGGAATCTTGTCTCAAATACGTTAGCATGATTGTCACTGGTTGGGTTACGAGGAACGTAGTCTGGTCTACTCGTAATGCGTCCAATGTGAAGCACCTAAAATAAACAAACAAACAAATAAATAAATAAAATAATAATAACAGTATTACTATATCTGCTAATTCTTCAGTTAGTCTTTTTTGATGCTGTATGAGTTCTATGAAATAAATATAAATAAATAGATATATAGATTTAAACCTATTAAAAGTAGGCGTGTCTTACCTGCATCAGTGCTAGGCTCAACCACATGCAAAGTGAGCTGCCATGTCTCCCAGTTACTCGTTTCGGCCGGTAACAACCAGCGAGGTTTCTTACGCTCGTAAAACTCTAACGATATCTAATTTTTGAAAAAAAGAAACTTTAATACAAAGACCAGGCCCTCCCTTACCTTCCCCATTCTTGACCCCGCCCCTTGTTGACAGAGCGATGAGGCGAACCCATGGACCTCTCCTGCTATCCAGTGGTCCATGTCGTCCCCTGAGAGTCTCACGTATGTGAACTCCATTGAAGTACAGTCAGTGTCTTCTACACCGACAGAACCAACAGAGAATGTGCCAGGGTTCTGTGGATTATAAGTGTACTGAAGGAAGAGAAAGGCATTGATAAACAAGACTGATAAATCTTAATTTTACTTTTCCAGTTGATCTGTGGAGCAGTATGGTATGGAACACTGCTTTGGCTGCATCTACAACTTGAGCAGGCGTCACGACCTACAACAGTCAGTAAGAGGGTCCCTTATCCCTCCTCTATCAATACTTACTAGATCAAATGAGTGGAATCTGGTGTTCATCTTGTTTGCTTGCTGACTCAGCAACTAGCCAACTATACTTTCGTGGGAATAGTTAATAGTTAATTAATAACAGACTCAATAGAGCATAGGAAGTTCTACTGCGCATGCGCAGTATGTCACTCTTTTTAACTATGAACTTCATAATGTTCAAATGTTGTATTTTCTTTTATAAAATTTGTAATAATAATAAATTAATAATAATAATAATAGTCTCTGAAATAATTAGCTTTACAAAGTCTATTTCAAAAGGGCTGCAACAACAGCCTGCACATTAAGAGTACGAAGGTCTTGATAAGTTTGTCCAGTACCCACGAACACTATGGGCTGTCCAGTAGTGTAGGTCATACTAATGGCAGCACCCACCTGTAGGAGGAGAGAGAAAAATAATTATTACAATAGATTAATCTTTATTCATTATATTATATTAAAAACCTTGTCATCAATTGTATCAAATTTCGTTAGCACGATTCCGTCAATAGAGCGAGGATTCTGATCACTGGAATCAGCAAAATCAATGAGAGCTCGATTGAACTTGACCAACTGATCGACGGCTTCATTCCCAACTAACGCCTCGCCAACAAACAACACGAGATCAGGAGAATTAACACGAATGAGCTAAAAGAGAAACATACAAAGTAGAAAGTGGATATCATTAAAGCATTATAAATTCTGTTTGCTACCTTAGCCAGTGAAACCATTAGTGGTTCATTGTCCTGCATTCTGCCAGCAGTATCCACAAGTACTACATCATACCTCTGCTGTCTAGCTATAAAATAAATATAATATAATACTGGCATTACCCACAGTCGTATAACTAGGCTATACTCCTCTCTTTCTCATTCTCTTCTCTTACCAAAGTTCACTGCTTCCATGCAAATACTGGCAGCGTCTTTACCGTACCCTCGCTCAAAGAGGAGGACACGAGGGGGCCCTCCCTCCCTCTCTGGTGGATGGAGGGAGGATAGACGACAAGTGTGAGTCTTCAGCTGCTCAACTGCTCCTGAACGGAAAGTATCACAGGCAGCAATCAGGACACGCAGACCATTCTCAAGGAGCCAGAAACAAATCTAAACAAGAAAGTTTATGATAAAGTATTTTTGGGCAACTTTAAAAATTCATAAAAAATCCAATTTTGATCGGAATCAGCTCAAACTTGATATACAACATAAGAACATGTATATGCATCAGAAAAAATTATAAAAGTGGAAAATTCTCTCCTTTTCAATTTCGGCAAAATTTGGCCCGTGCCCTGTACTATAGTACAGGAACTTCAGCCTGATTTTTGAGTAACTTTTAAAAATCATAAAAAATCCAATTGTGATCGAAATCAGCTCAAACTTGATATACAACATAAAAACATGTATATGTATCAGAAAAAATTATAAAAATGCAGAATTCTCTCCTAGCCATTTTTGACAAAATACCCTGGACTATAGCTCATGGACATTTTTTTAAATCCACCAACTCAAAAACTGACAAAGACATGCTAGTCCTTTATTGTCTATTATACTCCTATTTACTCTCAGCCTCCTTTCATGAGTACTCATGTGTATATACAAACCTTGGCAAGGTTGGTTGACTTTCCAACCCCATTTACTCCACAAAAGGTTACAACAAAAGGCCTACCAGCTTCTTTAGCCTTCAAAGCATCTTGAAGGACATCAATACGTACCTAAGAGGAAGAGAGAATAAAAAGAGAGAGGGATAAAATGATCAAATACTTTAGGGGACAATATCTGGACAAGAGCCTCTTCAACACTTGATTTAACAACAGATTGTATACCTACATGTACATGTATTTTGAACAATAAATAATAATAATAATAATAATAATAATAATAATTAATAATCTATGTTAAGTCATTATTTTAAGTAGCTCACCACTAAACGTTCCAATTGTCTTTCCATCCAGTTTCCCAGTGACTGAGCTACACAGCTTATCCGCTATCTCTATGGCAACATTCTTTGCTGCAGAAAAGTCACAACCATCAAACCACGCCCCCAAAATACTAAAGTACGTACTTATCAAATGCTCTTTCATTTTCTCCATCACCGGACCAATTGATTCTGCAGTTATGACACGTCCAGCAGTGATAGACTTGAAGAGTGAAAAAACTCCACCCCCACCACTAGTTAATTGATTAATAACCACTAGTTGATTATTTTTAATAAGGTACCTTTCTTTCGGAGTGTCTTGATCGACAGGTTGGAGCTGTCCTATCATACTACCTTTCAATGACAACTAAGAAAAAATTGAAAATAATTTTAAACTAATAATTTTTAGGTCTCACATCTTTCTCTTCATCGTGGTTTACGCCATTAGTGGTGGGTGGGGCACCTCCAGAATAATCCAATGCCTTTGTGTCTCCTTTGCTTCCTCCAACCATCCACTGACGAGCCTCTTTAGTCTTTGGCTTACCGTTAGATGGTTTGACTGTCCTAAATCGAATAAAAGAGTTTTTTTAATTGCATAAACAACAATAATATTTATTTATTCACTTTTTTGAGGTAGTCTTGGTGCTAGACGATTTCTTCGTCTTGCTTGCAATTATTTTCCTAATCTTGTCACTATTTGGGAGTGACCCTGATGATGATGATAATGATGAAGTTGCATCAATTCCATTCTCTCCTTCTTCTCTTCCTCCAGTTTCCTCTTGAACATCTAATTACAAGACATAATTAAATATATATATACTCATGCAAGGATAATAATACAATTATTATAGCTATTTTCTACACAACAGATGTATTTAGTGATTATAGTACAAAGCGTGAACATAAATAATACATATACACATACATTATCATGTGCTACATTGTACTACATTGTACATATCAATAAATTATCTCTTCATTTACCTTCAATTCCATTGATCTCTTCACCTATTTCTTCCTCCTCTTCCTCTTGGGGCTTTCCATTGAAAGGTTTCGTCACATTCTCTTTCTTTTTCGTTCCGTTCCAGTGCTTCATTTCACGTGGTTTCTGTCTCGACTGTCTGTCAGCTTCTTCAAGAGAAAACAATATATTCTATAGGAGAGAAAGAGGAAGTCACAATAATTGCCTTCTTTTTCGCTTACCTTAAATACATCCCCAAACTCGGAATACATGGAAGGATTGAGTGGAGTAGAATTAGTGAGTCTATTCTTATACTTGTCCCTGAAAGCTAGCTGGACCTGCTCCATCAGTTTATCAAGATACGCTAGCTGAAGTATCTTCTGGTACACAACCTGAAAATAAAAATAAACAAAAAATAACATCAATTATGATGTCACTTGCTTACCACAAAGATCAGTTCAAATTCGTTGTCCAACTTAAACTGGAGCTTCAATGACTCGTGGTTGAATACATCCATACCTCCTCTTTCCTGAGAACAAAGCACATGATATTAATGGTACCTATATTGTACAATGTATGCTCACTTGAAGCAGTACAGTCTTAACCAGTGAATTGACGGCTGGAGTGAGAGAGAGTGCCGTCCCTTGAAAGTACCAAAGGACGATGCCTCCTTTAGTGAAAATAGTAAAGAGATCAAGCATCTTGTTTCTTAGATTCTCCCCTTTCTTTCCAGAGTTCTTTTTGTTCCTTCTTTTGGCTTTGATTTTACTTTCAATGAGTCATCTCTCGAGTTATTAAAATATTACGGTATCATGTACAATTATTATGGTAGGCGTGGTTTGGGCGTGGTAGCCACGTGTAAACAACATGGAGAAAGATTTATTCGGGGAGGATAGCAGTGTGGAAGAGGACAGCAGCGAAGAGGAAGAGGTGAGGAGTCAAAAACTCAATAATATAACCACCTCCTTCTTATAGCTAACGGCTAAGAAGAAGGTAGAAGGAAAAGGGAACGAAGAAGGCAGTGTACGAGGTGCTTCAACAAGCTCCACCTCCTCATCAGGATCCTCTAGTAAGAGTATGAGTACAGGCCCTCCTTTATCTGTTTTTTAGGTGAACAAGATACTAAAGATGTAGAGGAGCCTATGAGCCATACCCAATTGGGCGGAGAACTCACTGACAGTCAATTCCCAGATACTCAAGATCTTTTCGGAGCCGATTCTTCTGAGTGAGTGTGTGGGTGTGGCTCAGCTCCTAATATTCTTTTTAGTTTATCAAGTGGAGGTAGCGATAAAGAAGATGAGAAGGTTCCTACTGAAGTCCCACCCACTGCATCAGAGCCTCAGCCTTCAACAATACCGGAATCTGCAAGGAACATTTTTGGAGACGAAGATGACATCTCTTCGTTAGTCCTTACATTTAACTCCTGACCACACCCTTTTCTTGTTAATACTAGATCCGATAATGATGAGAGTGGTGCACTAATGGAGACACACCCACCAGAAGAACCACATCCTCCACAAGAAGAAGAGGAGGTCCCTAGGATTGAAGTAGAGATACCGCGGGTCTCTGCAGATCTTGGTACTGACCTACACTTTGTAAAACTCCCAAATTTTTTATCAATTGAGACGAGGTAAGGTTGAATATTACTCCTCCATTTTATTTGGTTAATCTTAGGCCGTTTGATCCTGTTCTTTATGAAGATGAAGGTGATGATGATGGAGATGTTCTTGATGAAGATGGCCGGGCTCGGCTTAAACTCAAAGTTGAAAACACTATCAGATGGCGTAAGACGGTCAACGAAAATGGAGAAGAAGTGAAGGAGAGTAATTCACGTATTGTTCAATGGAGTGATGGAAGGCAAGCAGTTTACACACTCAATTATAATAATATTCTTTCTCTCCTACAGTATGTCACTGTATCTAGGCAGTGAGATATTTGATATTCATTGTCAGCCATTGCAAAGAGAATATAGTCACCTGTTTGTGAGACAAGGTAAGAGAGAGGGTGAAGTAGTTGATTGATTTATTCTGTGCAGGTACTGGCCTGCAAGGTCAGGCCGTATTCAAGAACAAGATCAGTTTCAGGCCACACTCAACTGACAGTCAAACTCATCGCAAGATGACACTGTCTATTGCCGACAGGTTCTCAAGGGCACAAGTTTGTAGTACTACGTAAAGTGTGTGCAATTTTACTTTATCTTGTGTGATAGAAAATTCGTGTGCTGCCAGTGGTGGAAAAAGACCCTGAGTCAAGGCGCTCTGAAATGATAAAAGTAATACTCTTATCCCCTCTCTCTCTCTTTTATTAGTTTTCTTAAAGGACGAGGAAAAGAAGCTAAGAGAATCTGTGAAGTTAAGAAGCCAGCAACAAAAAGTAAAGAAGAAGTTTCCACGCAGGGGACTGACTGCGTCTTACCTAGAGCCCGATATACTTATGGGTGAAGATGATGGAGTGAGTTAGAATCATTCGACTGGCCATGTGATTTACATTATTTCAGGAGAGTTTGTCTGCTATTAAATCATCTGTTAAATCAAGAATGAAGCAAGCAGTGAGCATCAATTTAGATCATATTATTATTATTATTATTATTATTATTTTGTCTTGTAGGTTACAAGAGGAAAGAAGCCTTCTAAGAAAAGTATATTTTTGGCTTGAAACTTGTCGTTCAAATATTATTATTATAGCGTCATCTGTGAAGAGAAGAGGAAGGAAAGTTTTAAGTGATGAAGAGGAGGAGGAGGAAGAGGAAGAAGAGGAGGAGGAGGAGGAAGAAGAGGAGGAAGAGGAAGAGGAGGAGGAAGAAGAAGAAGAAGAGGAAGAAAGTGATTTTTAACTGTCATTCTAATTATTATTCATTACTCAATGTTAATTAATTGAAGTAGGCGTGCCCGCATTGCGGGCTTGTTGTGGGTGTGGCTGGTAATTCGATAAAGAAGATAACAATGAAGGAGCTATTTCTCATTTATTCGTTATATCTCTCGCTTCTAGCTACAAGTAAGGCTCCCAATAGTTAGTAGTGACCTTTATCTTAATGTTATAGTAGCTATCGGTACCGATGTAGCCCCCAGTAGTGATACAATGGAGTCTTCAGAGTCAATTATCATGCTTTGTGAGTTATAATGCCTTCTTGCATTGTACTACTTCTAATAATTGTGTGTTGATGCTACTTGATATACATGTAATTCAATAGTATATCTGATTATGTTATTGTATAGATTAATTTAAGCATGTGATGGTTTTGAATTTTATTTGTAAAAGAGAAAATATACATAATTACTGATACAAATACGTTTATATATGTACTAGCGCATGGACTCACTTATTCAAGCTATGCAGAATGTTTGTAGTGATATAATTGCGTTATAAATTGCTATAATCCTGTTTATGCTTGTATAATATATGTACCATCTTTAATTGCTTCCTCTCTCTCTTTTTCATATCTTTCCTCTTCCCTCTACAGCTCCATCACCTACATCAACAGTGACACCCTCTCCCTCTTCAACCCCCTCTTGGCTCGATGAGCACCTTAGTCTAGTAATAGGAGTACCAACTGGGATTGGACTATGCATATTAATGTTCTTGGGGTGTCTCATTTACTGTGGTAAGGAGGAGAGAGGGAAAGAGAGAGAGAGAGAAAGATAAATACAGCAACAAAGAGTGGATATTTGCATTTGATATGGCTATCATTGCAGCCATGTATTGGGATAAAATGATTCTCATCCTTCTTCTCCTTTCTTTCCTTTTCCAGGAATATCAGCAGCAGTACATGCATGGAAGGAGAGGAGGGCCGCACAGGGTGATAGTTCGTACCACGGTTCTGGAGGTGGTACCAGATTCACTGGTGTCGCCGCTACTCCTCATGCCTCCTCTGCTTATAACTCATCAGTAGCTTATAATACTTCGTCAGCTTTTGAACCAAGTGATGACACACTGCCAAGAAGAAAGAAAGGCTCCCATGGAAATCATGTTGATGATGATCCAAGCAGTTTAGCAGTTGATCCAACTGAGGATGTTTCTGGCGTTTAATTCCTTGACCATTTCTTCCTCCAGCTGCATAATTATACACACGTGACATGCATATTAACATCCCTCCTTCATAATTGCTTCACACTCTAATCAACATATTAATTGTGATAATAATGATATGAGAATAATAATAATAATAATAATAGTACTACAATCATTATGATGATGTCTCAATTGTTTTTAGTTTTTTTTTCTGTCATTTTTATGGTTCTTTAATCCATTACTTTTATTTTAATATTATTGGATTACATTGGGTGAAGATTAACATGCATGTTTTCTAAAAAATTGTGATCAAAATGGGCTTAAATGAGCAGTGATATGTATCAGGAAGTACGACAAAATTAAGGTTCCCACTGTTTAAAAAATGCTTATTTTTAGATGCCAATAGCTTTAAAAAACAAACAGAATTTGTTCAAACTCGCTATACATTTACATAGCTACAAAGAAGGAGGAATGTATCAAAATATGTCATAAAAAATGAATAATATTGTAAAAATGTGATTGAAGGTGACAATGATCCACACACACAAACAATGATAAAAATTTTCAAAAAATGTTTACATTTTACATCCACACATGTACAAGTCGGATTCGTGACGATCAAGTAGCATTAATTAATTGATTAATATTAGACATCAGTGTCGATCCTCCTAATGTTGATAACTTTCCTCTCTGAGTAAGAGGCAGAGGAGGAAGAGGACGCGAAAGAAAGAGGAGGAGAAGGAGCAGATAGAGGTTTCCTTAAACTGTCGTAAGACACGACTGAGATTGGTCTCTTGTTATGAGAGTAGAAGGAGAGAGAAGGAGGAGGGGCTTGAGGTTTATTAGATGCATGACGTTTATCAGACACTAGCATAAAAAGAGAAATAAATAAATAAATAAATAAACAAATAAATAATAAATAAATATATAAATAAGCAGAGTATGTATTGTTACATTTTGTACTGCATTTCTCTTTTTGCTTATAATCAGTACCAAAAACATAGCATTATATTTTATATAATTTAGTACTGTAGACAGTATCATTACAAAGATTCAAAGCAGTTCCATATACACACCAGTGATACATTACTTATAACATTCATTATCTATTTATGTCAGTCTTTGACACATTCTTACCCTTTGCTATCTCTCTCCTGCTTGTTTGCACATACTTTAATGTCAATACCAACAACAACGCCAGACAACAAACAAACACCAACAAGGCTATACCGATCCCGTACGTTAACCACGGGTTGGCGTAATAGGACGTAGATTGATTTGAAGATTGAGGAGTAGAGGTAGGTGTGGTCAAAGATGGATTGGGAGTAGCGGAAGAGAATGGAGAAGGTGGAGTCATAATGAGAGTATGAATAACATTAGTGCCAATTTTAATACGAATTTCAACCACATAATCAGCCTAAAAATAATATAATAAATACATTTATGAACATAAAAAATCGTACATGTATGTATTGGAAACTAGAATTGCTACCTTATGTTCATTAAATGACCAAAGTAGAGGGTTAGAGGACCAGGGGGAGGTGGAGAGGAGAGAAATAGTACTGGAATTTCTCTTCCTCCATTCTACAACAATGGGATCAGTTTCAAGAGAAGAGAGAAGAGAAGACATGGACCAGCTAAGCTTTAGTACAGAGCCATTGATCCACTGCAAACCAACTGAAATATGATCATCTGAAAAAAGAAAAATTGTTGTAAATTATAACAGAACATACACAAATTACACTGCAAAGTTTGAGCTGATTTTGATCATGAATTTACAAAAAAATCTGAATATACACAAAAAATTAAAACAATAATGACACACACACGTATGCATGATTTACATGTTAAAATGGTACAGAAATAACATTATTTTTGGTAATTGCACCCAGAACTATGGTTCATGTATTAATTCCATACCTAATGGACTGGGCTCTATCACACATGATTCTTCTAATACAGAATACGACTGTCCAGCTGCAGTATATGCTAGTGCATAGACTGTGACCCAGCACTGCCCAGGGGTTAAGTTATAAAGTGGAACGAATAATCCATTGGCAATCGCAGGTATGTCTATTATGTCTAGGTTACCAGCCAACAAGCAGCTGTATCGTACAGAGTAATGGTGAACCCCTCTGCTTTGAGTATTCTGAGAGAGAGAGAGAGAGAGAGAGAAGAAGATTAATATTCTATCGTACATATTGACTCACATTAAATCTGACTCCACCCATTAACGAAGTGATTCTAATACACTCCAACTCATAAGAGGCAGATGGTGCGACACTCGGGGTAGGAGTGGCCGAAGAAATTGCTGTCGTGACAGCAATACTAGAAGAACTGGTAGGAGAAGGCAACTGTGACTCTATAGAATAAAGAATTGACATAAAAGCTTCAAATTCAATCAATATGTATGTAATAAAAAAATCAAGGAGTTTTTGTATCAATCCTTCATAAAAAAGGTACATGAATGCCAAGACTAATTCAGCCCCATACAGTACATGTACATGTATGGACCTGGTAAAAACTTTTTGAGGTTGAAACTTGGCCCGTCTCCTCCAAGACCATACGCCCACACACTAATTAAATAAGTCTCCTTCACGATCAGATTATTAATAGTAAAGAACCGAGTGGTGTAGGGTACTGCCCCTCTTGCTGACTTTGGTAGCGTCTGGTGATAATGATACCGAGAGGAGAGGTCCCAGTTTAACTTGTAGCCAAGAAGATTGGAGTCATTGCTAGCGGGCGGAGACCAGGAAATGAGGAGTAAGGGAAGAGAAGGCATCCACTCAGCCTTGACATCAAGAGGAGGAGAAGAAGGAGGGAGGTCTGTGAGAAAGAGAGGGGTAATATATCGTCTAATTTTTAGAATTTCAATTTTCAAATTAAATTAATGAGACAGGAGAGACATTACATCCTATAATTATTATCACTATGTTTGTGGTCATATTAAAACTATGATGATTATTTTAAATAGCTACAATTTGTGAATTTTAACCACAAGGACATCACAGCTCTTTATAAATACTTGTAGTACTCCCTTGTACACTAATTTCATTCATTTATAATATACCGACTTACAATTAACAGTGAGTCTAACAGAACCAGTTATGCTATGATTGCTAGTTATGGCGGCAAAGCAATTGTAAACAGCTGCATCTGTCACATCCAGTGAAGATAACATTAGCACAGAGACTGTACCATTGGGAGTTACCTGAGAAAGAAAGGGTTAGAGTATGTGTACACAAACACAATCACTGACTTCATTGTGTATGTTAGTTAATAATCCAGCTGTTCCAGTACTCCATACTATCATCAGAGATTGCCTGTAATTAAATAAACAGGTCAAGTTGACACTTTGTCCCTCGTTGACAGTAACTTCATCTTGAGGGACTCTAACTGTTAAAGGAGCTAGAGAAAGAGAGAGAAAATATATTACAAGGACTTTAATATTTGCAAGCAAATCATCCATTATGAAAAGGTATCTTTAAGATCCATGCTCACACTCTCTTTCATATCCCATGTTTCCATGCCCCATGCTTCCGTACCCCATACTTCCATACCTATGCTAACTTGAGACACACGAGTGTGCATCTTGTAATCAATAGTAAAGACTTCACAGATGTAGTTGCCAGGCTCTGATACATTTACTGTTAGTATGTACGTATGAATCGAACCATTCTGGGTCTGTTAAAAATAATAGTAAAAATAGTAAATCAAGTACTTTTTCGGATCAAAAACCTACCTGCTGAATACTATACTGTCCACTTGTCCAATGTGTAATTAGTAAAGGGACGCCAGCTTTAATGTAACACGTCAGTGTGATCTCTTGTCCAGGCATTATGTAAGTTGATTCAGGAGATGTGCTAACAATTACTGGCTGAGGGACAGGAGTGGGAGAAGGCGTAGAAGGTGAAGAAGAGGTAGAAGATGATGGGGGGAGAGTGCTTGCTGTACTTGCAGCTGTTGGGGTTAGAGTAGCTGATACTGACTGATGAGGAACTGGAATAATATAAAAAATAAAATTATTTTATAATATACATGTTGTCTAGAAAGTTTTAATGAAAGTTTAAGTTGATCAAAATTTGGCCAAAGACCATGGGCTAAAGTACAGGATATTTTGTCAAAAATGGCTCCAAAAAATTTTCAGTTCTGATAATTTTTTCTGATAGATACATATATTTTAATGTTATTTTCCAAGTTTGAGCTGCTTCCAATCAAAATTGAATTTTTTATGAATTTTTAAAGTTACTCCAAAATCGGGCCAAAGACCCAATTAAGGCTATAGCCTTGGGTCATCGCCAAATTTTGTCAAAAATGGCTCCGAGAAAATTCTCAATTTTTATAATTTTTTCTAATAGATATAAATGTTCTTATGATATTTCTCAAGTTTGAGCTGATTCCAATTAAAATTAGATTTTTTACAAATTTTGAAAGTTCTAAAAATTCTATGTAAATATGCTACATGTAGCTTCCATTGCCAGCTCCTGCTTACCTGATGAATTAACGATAACACTAAGAGTCTCTTCATCACAGTATCCATACTCACTGACACCAATACACTGGACACTAACCACCTGACCTTCCTCATAACCAACATACACGTCTTGCATGAATACTCCATTGTGATAGGCGGGGTCATGATAAGTGACTCCACCCACTTGAATGGTGACGTTAATACGCCCAGTGAGAGAATGAGAGGTGGGAGTTAAGCATTGTACTGTTAGGATTGAGCCAGATGAAGGATAGAAAGAACTGATTGACAGAGAGATATTAAACTCATCTACATTGTATAAAATAAAAAGAGAGAGAGAGAGAATTAAGAATTGAACATGTGTACAAACAACAGGATAAAGTAAACAATTATTTACTAGCAGTGTAGCAATTATTAAACAAATAATTTAATAAGAAAATCTCTAAGGAATGATTAATATAGTACACTAATTTGACAATTATACAAGGAATTACTATGTGTGGGTGTTTATTTTAAAGTTCAGAAAGGAAGGACTCATTATACAATACATGTATAATTAATGACATCAAAACAAGTTTATAGTTAAGAATGTGCACATAGGGCTTTGAACAGCAAGAAAGGGAGAGAGAGAAAGAGAGAGAGAGAGAGCTAGAGAGAGGGAGAAAGAGAGAAAGAGAGAGAGAGAGAGAGAGAGAGAGAGAGAGAGAGTGTGTGTGTGTGAGTGAAAGAGGAGACAAAAGTGAGGAGAGGAATAGGTACATTTGAAGATGTGTATGTGTTCATTGATGAAGCAGCTGATAAAAGACAGCTGTTGAGACATAAAGAGTATAATGGTGAACACAATATGGAACAAATGTGAAGAACGAGACATTATGGTAGACAAGATTGGAAGAGAAAAGGGAATGAAAACAGAGAGAGAGAGTGACAAAAAAGAGAGACAAAAGAAAGGACATATACATGTACATGTATCATAAAGGGTACATTTCACAGGGATTTAATTTCACTAATTTCGTGATTTAAAAAATCGTGAAAAATTTTTATCTATGAAAATTTTTTGATTATACTAATAGTGGTCAGTAGAAAAGAAACATTTTTTATAAATAAGTTAAAAGGTGATTTTTGTGAAATATTTCTCCGGGAAATAGATGTATACCCCTATACGGTACATGTACATGTACATGACTACATGCACGTGTACATGTACTAAGAGTTTATATAAGGAGATGGAGAGAGAGAGGATGGACACACACGCATTACTTCAAAGTTATTATTACTACAGACACTGAAATATGATGAGTGACGTTAGTTACTCTTCACGCCATCACTCCCACTGGTTATAGACAGACACCTGCACGCTCAAATATAATTCCCTCCCACTCTCACTCTCACCCTTCCTCATCCTCTCCCCTCTCCCCCCCCTCTCTATCTGATCAACTCACCAATAACAGTGAGATAGACATCTTCTTGTATCTGCATCATTCCAGAACCAGCACTGCATCTGTATAGACCACCATCCTCTTCACTCACTGACTTAAGTTCTAATATACTACCTGCAGCAGCAGTCGAGGTGAGAGGGAAGGAGGGGTGGTCAGGACGTGACCATTCTAACTCATAGCCATTTGATATACACTCAAATTGTGTCGATTGACCTCTCAAAACTGTTCTATTGTGAGGTTTAATTTGAAACTGAGGCATTGATGGGAAATAGGCAAAATTACCTAAGGAAGAGAAAAAAGATTGAATCAAAATTACACTAATGCACATTGTACATGTACATGTACATTTATAAAAATGTTGCATGACTACAAAATTTGAATGCATCAAATCAAATTTTTAATGCTTACCAGTAATAGTTAACTGGGCAACATTTGACTTATACACAATACCATGGACTGTATCTGTAGCTACACACTGGTACAGACCACTATCACTCAAATCTGGCCTTATAATATACAGATTCCCTCCGTCAGCCATGATGAATTTGGACCCATCCGTGGTGTTAATTGAAGTGTTGCCTTTTGTCCAGTGGATAGAGAGAGAGGGAGGGGAGAGGAAGGGAGAAGAGAGGAAGGGAGCTGGTGGAGTACATAGCAATGCCACATTGAAATATATAAGTGAAGTTTTGCTGGCTGGGTTAACAAGAAAGGGAGACTCTGGCCCTTTAGAGGGAGAGAGAGAGAGAGAGAGTCTAAAATATTTGTTAATTATTGTTTGTGGTATGAATAAATTCTTGAAATATCAATTGTTCACAAAGATAATACAAACACACACACACACACACACACTCACAATTCCCATACCCTTTACCATTAAACCCCTCTACCATTAAACTCTCTTCATATTACGCATACATACGTGTACATACGTACCAGGTGGAGTAATCAAAAGGGTCGGACAGGATAATAACACTTTGGTGTCAGATATTTCTTTTTTACAATAATAATACCCTGAATCATTTCCCGAGGAATAATTGTTGATAACAAGAGCACTGGAATCGTTCTTGTTGCTCAGCTTGTAAGAGCTTGTAGAATTTTGTGTTACATTTACAAGCTGATAATCAGAGAAAAGAGGATTCTGGGTATTGACTGAGTCTGAGTCAGAGCTCCATTTGTACCAATGAGTGTTGGTTGCTGGTTCAGGTAAAGAGCAAGGAAGGGAGACTGTGCTGTTCTCTTCAGCACTGATAATGGTAGCAGTAGCACCTGCCATGAAAGATGAGAAAGAGAGAGAGAAGAAATTAAAATTATATTCATTATTCCATATGAAACAAGGTCAAAACCACAGTCAGCCTTTCATTATCCTCACCAGCAAAGAAATAAATCAGAAATAAAGTTACTGCTGCTCTAAAGGAGTCCATCACCCTCGGGCAAGAAGAGAGGAGCTGGCAATTTCTGTTTTGCTGGAGGAGCTAAATTCCTTTCCTTTCCATAAAGTGGGTGGTTCACTATATCAGTGATTCAATCTCCTCCTCTCTCTTTCTATAGAAAATATAAGATATTAAAGGCACTCCTACACACGCATTCCTTTCAGCTTTGCGGTGAACTGCTCTTTCCTTCTCTATACAGTTCTCTTCCTTCATTTCTGACAGCAACAAGGAAGGGAATCTGCCTCCAACTGCAAGATTGTTAGAATTCTCCTCTCTCACCCTATCAGTCCATTTGCTGTTAAATTGACAGGGTTGTGGCGAGTCTTCCATAGGAATCATGGCTCGCTCAAATGTTCTTAGCTTCCAGTTAGTCCTCTGCCTCTCTCTACTCCACTTTGCTACAGCAACTCATGTCGGTGAGTATAGTAACCCTTGTAACAAGTACTTGTACTTGTAGTCCTGAACTCCTGAAGCATTGTTAATTACATAGCCTATCTGTAATGTGTATACTACATAAAAGTGAAATGTACAAAATATCTCCTCTCTCTCTTTCAACTCTTTCCAAAATAATAATGCTTGTAGTTATAGAATAATGCCACACTATATAGTACAGGTACATTTGTGTTATTGCTCTGTTTCAGTGTTGCATGATTCATGGTATTCCTTTATGGCATAGCGTTTTAAATTCCTTTCAAGATTACCCTACCTTATAAAACTGACACTGTTCCTGTTTTTATTAGCTTATACACTTGTACATGTACTTATAAGTGTGCAACTCTCTCCCTCTTTGGTTTCAAATGATAAAAACATGTACTCAAGGAGGTAGTGTATCAGTTTTCACTTCCTTTCAATCCTTCTGGTTCTACTTTCTTTACTTTCTTTATTATTATAATAAAATAATATTATTTTATTTATTATTATTATTATTATTATTTATTATTATTATTATTAATGTTATTCATGACTTGAGCCCTCTCTCACATGTAGCCTATAGCATCACTAGAGTCACCTTCACTCCCACTAGTTACATCAGAGACACAAAGGATTAGCCCACCTATTCACACACATATCACACACACGTCACAAACATATGATCACTGCAATCAAAATCACTGTGGTCACAATCATCATCATGATCAAGAGTTCATGCTTGTGATCATGATGACAGAATCATGGATCATTATTATTACTTACTTTCTCGTTTATAGATGACATCATTCCTCTCCCATCTGCTATCGTTTCTCCATCTGATTCTGTCATTGCCATTAACAACCAATCTTTTGAGCTCAACTGTACTGGGACGGGAACCCTCAGCTGGTACAGAGGCTTTGATTTTAACACACCCCTCACCAACCAGTCCCAACTCCTTGACGACAACGTTACCCTCTCCCTCACAATTACCCTGAGTGATGATGAGTCCGGACTGATGGACGAAAGGAATCGTACTTACTTTTGTATCGCTAGTAACTCACTGGGCGTGGCTAGGAGTCATTCAGTACAGATACCCTGTAAGAAGAGGAGGAGGAGGAGGAGGAGGAGGAGGAGAGAGAGAGAGAGAGAGAGAGAGAGAGAGAGAGAGAGAGAGAGAGAGAGAGAGAGAGAGAGAGAGAGAGAGAGAGAGAGAGAGAGAGAGAGAGAGAGAGAGAGAGAGAGAGAGAGAGAGAGAGAGAGAGAGAGAGAGAGAGAGAGAGAGAGAGAGAGAGAGAGAGAGAGAATGAAGTGACAGGATGAAAGTTATGTTATTAAAAATGAGTGCCAGAGTGATAGTGCTGACATGTATGCGCGTAAATATGTACGTGTATGTGTCTGTGTTGATTTGAATGTACATGTACATGTGTATAGCACATGTGTATGTTCATCATCATTTGTGTCATGTAAATACCATTTATGATGTACTCCTTAATTTAAATATAATCCTATTCCTTCTCTCCCTCTATCTTCCTTCTTCTCCTTC